GGGGAGGGACCGCGGGCCCCGGAGCATCCCGGCCCCGCTTCCCTGTCCCGGGTCCGTGACGAGGTCGGCTGGATGCCACCGGCCCCGGGGACTCGGGCAAAAGGGGTCACCACGCCGGGAGGGGGGCGGGGGAGGGGGTGGGATGTTGTGTCCTCGCTGCCAAAGGGTTTTTTTTTTGGGGATCAGCATCCCCACGGCAGGGGGAGGGGGGGGATTGTCCCTGTCTGCTCTGCTCAGGTGAGACCCCACCTGCAGAGCTGCCCCCAGCGTTGGGGTCCAGCAGCAGGAGGATTTGGGGATGCTGGAGCAGTTCCAGAGGAGGCCAGGGAGATGCTCCAGGCCTGGAGCCAGGCTGGGAGAGCGGGGGGTGTTCACCTGGAGAAGAGAAGGCTCCAGAGAGACCTGAGAGCCCCTTGCAGGGCCTAAAGGGATCCAGGAGAGCTGGAGAGGGACTGGGGACAAGGGATGGAGGGACAGGACACAGGGAATGGCTTCCCACTGCCAGAGGGCAGAGTTAGATGGGATTTTGGGAAGGAATTGTGGACTCAGTGAACATGATGCCCACCCAAAACAACCCCCTCCCCTCAGGCTGCCCCCGCTGTGGCGTGCAGGGAACGCTCCCGCCGCACCTCCGCAGGAAACGGGATGGGAAAAGCTCCTCTTGGACTCAGCACTGCTTTTGTTTCCATTATAAACTTCCCTTTTCACGAGGAAGGAGGCTCTGAGACCTGCTCCCCTCTCAGCCCCAGCTGGGGGGATCCTGCCCGGGTCAGGGGAGCAGAGCCCGCTGTGGTACCACCCACCACCCTCCCACCTCTGCTTCCAGCTGGATTCTGCATCCCAGCTTCCCTCTGCACACCCTCTGGAGGCTGCTCTGCTCCTGCAGTGCTCCCCAGCTGGCCTGCTCAGGGTCAGGGAGACCTTTATCAGCCCCGGAGTGCGGCCTAAGGCCGGGATATGGGCGATAAGGCGCGTGGGATGAGCAGGATCCCTGGGCCAGGGCCCTCCTGTCCTTCCAGGAGGAGCCAGGAGGGATCAACAGGCTGGGAAAGGCCATGCAGGGGTCCCCCTCGGGGTGTTGATCCCCACCAAGCCAAAATTAACCAAAAGCCATGTCTATGGGGAGGCATCTGGGACTCCTCATGTCCCACCATGGGGGCTGGGGCAGCACAGGATGGGGCTGGAGGGCTTGAGATTGGGGCTTGGCTTTGATGGCAAATACTGCAGCTCCTGGCTCCAAAAGAAGGGCAGACAGCCTCCAAGATAGGATATGGAGGAGGTTGCTCTCCCTTTCCTCCTCCACAACTCCCAGCAGCCACCCCCTCCCCCCAGCAGGAGCAGGGAAGGGGGTGATGGGGTGGGAAAGGGGGAGATGAAGAGCAGGGCTGATCCTGAGGGGTGGGATGCACGAGGATGTGGCAGGAGGGAAAAAGCAAGCCCAGAAATAGCAAGTGTAGCAGTTGCAGAAGGCGCCGGTTGCCATGGGATCTTCACAACCAAAAATGACGGGGCTCTGGCAGATACAAGAACGGGCCCTTTCATGTGTTTCTATGGGAAGTCAGCGCCTCGCCGCAGCCTCCCGGGCTGGAGCCTTTCCCAGGGCAGGAAGGATTTGGGGACACTGGTTGTGGTGACAGGGAGAGCCCTGGTGAAGTCCCTGGAGGGCTTTGCTTGGGTCCAGGAGGCTTTTTCACGGTGCAGGTGTCAGAGGATCACTTGGCACCGACTCCACGGGCAGGTTTGGCACTTCCCATCTTCTGCTCAGGCAAAGAGGATGGAGATTCCCGGCTCTTCCTCGTGCCCCTTGTTCCCAAGGGCTGTTCCCAAGCTGTCAGTGCCGTGGTGGTGCTGGTGGTGGTGGCAGAAGCCATGACCATCCATCCCTGCTTACGGCACAGCCCGGCCCCGCACTCTCCCCGCTGGAATTCTCTCCCTGGAGAGATCTAATTAGTTAATTCCTTTGCTATTTCTAAATCAATATGGAAATCCCTCTGCTTCGTTCCCGGTGTTGCTGGTTGCTGGTTCCCCCTTCCCACCCAACTCTAAAACCCTCCACCAGCAGATGATGTGGGGACAGGAATAAATAATTCTCCGTGAAGGGCCGGGGGAATGAGATGGGTGACAGGGACAGGACAAGGGGCTGGGGATGGTCCCTCCTCGTCCTTCTCCAGCCCTGTGGTGTGGCAGCCAAGTTCCCTGCTCTGCCCTGCAGCCTCTCAGCGCTTAACACCCAATAAATTAATAATCAGCCGCAGTTTAAGTAGGTCTGGAAAGTGGAAAACAACATCCGCAAAGATCTGGCGTCGTCCGTTCCCCCCCCCCCGGCCTCGCGGGCGGGAGCAGCAGAGATTTGTCTGCCTGTCCATCTGCCAGAGGGGCAGACAGACCGTAATCTGTCCGTCTGTCTGTGGCCTGCAAATCACCGGCCCTTCCCGGGCAGCCAAAGCCCCCTGAGCCCTGGGAGAGCCCGATGGAACAGGAGCATCCTCTGCCCTGCTCTGCTGCCCTGCCCTCGGGGATGGAGGCAGGAGGGGAGGGTTGGGACCCACCGCTGGTTCCCCCTGGCTGGTGGGCACTGGTTTTGCACCAGCAGGGTTTGGGTTGGTGTCTGGTTCATGCCGGAATTCACCAGTCCCTGTCTTCCACCTGCTCTCCCGGTGTCACCACGTGCCACAGCCCCGCACGGAGGGGGAAAAACGGCCTTTTCCTGGGATGAGAGCCGGACTAACCGGCCTTGGCCTGCCCAGGGACACCCACGGGGCGCGGGGGTTTCGGCACCAGGGTGGCACCGCCCGGGATCCAGCGGAGCCGCCGCCGGCAGCGCGGGAAGGACAGACATCTGCCCTGGAAGAGGAGGCACGGCTCGGGAATCCACGGGGAATGTGGCTATTTATAAACACAGCCCTTACGCAGCGCTGCAGAAGAGGGTTTTCAAGAAAAGCCGGGATCAGGAGGGACGTGGCGACTGGGGATTCCTCGGAGATGAAAGCCGATGGAAAAACACACGCCAGGAGGTCCTGGTACGGTGTGTGTGTGTGGGGAGGGGGCTGTCACTGTCCCCCCCACTGCCAGCTCTGCATCTTGACCTGTCCAACCATGCTGGAATTTGCCCTTTACACATCTGCTTCCCGCTGCTCTGGGATAGGTGCTGGAAGGGCAGCAGGGAAGGGAGGGGTGAAGTGCTTTGCCCCCTCCAGCAAAAACACGGAAAAGACCTTGGCTCTGCATGAAGGGGGGTCTGAGACAAGCGGCCCCAACCTCGATCCCCAGCCTGGCCTGCTGGCTCAGGGGTACACAGCACAGCCAAAATGTGCTACAGCAGTGGGATGGGATGGGATGGGATGGGATGGGATGGGATGGGATGGGATGGGATGGGATGGGATGGGATGGGATGGGATGGGATGGGATGGGATGGGACAGCAGCGTGAGGCCTCTTTGCACTCCTGCAGAGAAGAGCCAGGACCAAATGACCCTCAGCAGGGAGACTGCAAACCGCTCCCAGAAGGTGGGGAGGGAAGTGTGGAGCTGGGATGGACACTGCCCAACACCAGACAGCTGCTGGGACAGCGGGAAGGGCTCCCCAGCCGGGCTTTGTTCCCTAGCACGAAAGGTCGGGGACACCAGCCTGGACCTCACGCTCGGGGACAAGTACTGGGAGGCAGATCCCGTTCACTGACTGATTCCACATGCTCCCTTGGACAGTTTGTCTTCCCAAAACCCTGAAACCCATGTGTTTTCCAATGGGGAATGTCCTCCTTGGCTCCCGTGCTGCTCGGGACGCTCCAGCCCTCGCCGCCGGCCGGAGCACCCGGCAGCCATCCAAGGGCTTTATCAACTGGCACCCAAAAGTCAATAAGGAAGATGCCGCCTGTTTTAATTAACAGCAATTTCGCTCCGACGGGGGGTGAGATGGTGATGATGTGCCGGGGGGAGGGAGGCCGGAGACAAAACATGACCTTGTTGGCGCAGCGCACACAGCGGGACATTGTTTTCCCCCTGGGAGACTGGCCTTGATCCTGCCTGAGCCCCGGGGCACAGCTGGGTGCTGGGGGACGGGGGCTCTGCTGGGAGCAGGGTGACGAGTGCCTGGAAGGTTCCCAGTCCGAGGGGCTCGGGACGAGGCACCCGGAAGGGTGAGCAGGGAACGTCGCTGGTTCGGACTGGCACAAAAGGGTCGGGATTTTGGGAGCCCCCAGTAAGGCCCAGCTGTGCCTGGGTGCCATGGGAGCGAATCCCCCACTGGCACTGCTGGACCCCCCTGGCAGCACAGGGATGCTGCAGGGCCCTTGGCAGAATCAGCATCCACTCGAGTTTAGTCCTGTTTTCCTTTTCTCCTGAGCTCTCCCATTCCAGGAAAGCAGAGAGGAGGAACACCCAGAGGGGGAAAAACCTCCCTGGGTGTGTGCCAGGGTGCTCGCTGAGGAGCCGGGGTGTGACCCATTGCACAACCTGCCCCCACTGCAGGCCCCTCGGGAAATTGCTGGGGCTGGGGTGAGAGGGGAACCCCGGGGGAAGTGGGACCCTGGGGGGGAGCAGGACTCCAGAGGGAGCAGGATTGAGATGACCTGCACCACGATGCTGTCCCGGAGGTGACAGGGAAGGGACAAATGGCACCATGGGACACTCTCAGGGTGACTGGGATGGGGCGAGCAGCACCCCAGGGGTGCTGGAGCTGCAGGCAGAGGCACCTCAGTGGTGTCAGGGATGGGGTGAGCAGCACCCCAGGAATGATGGGGCTTGGATAAGCACCCCCCATGCAGGGAAGAGAGCACTGGGCGGGGGGAGGGGGGGGGTCCCCACCACCCCCCCCACCGCGGCTGCCCCGATCCCCGGGGGTCGCACAGGAGGGTCGTGGGGGCTCGGCGGCGGCCAGAATCCCCCCACCCTCCCCCGTCCCCCGGCGGGGCGGTGGCTCCACCGCGGTCCCCCCGCCCCCGGGGCGGGCTCGGCACCGTCCCGCCCCCGCCCCGCGCCTTATCAGCGGCGGGCGGGGGGCTCGCCCCACTCCCGCCCAGCGCAGCCGCCGCGGCGGGGCCGGCACCACCCGACGTGCCGCACCATGGGCAGCCAGGGCTCCAAGGCGGCGGGCGGAGACCCCGACACCGCCAAAGCCAACGGGCAGGTGGGTACCGGGGGGGGCCCCGCGGCCCCAGGACCACCCTCGCCCCGTCGGGGCGGGCGGGAGCGCGGAACAAAGGCGGCGGGGAGGGGGGGGGAGCGGCGGCGGTCCGGGGGATGGGGAGGGGTTCTTGTGCCCCCGGGGGTGTGTGTGGGGGGGGGGATGTTGTTCTGCCGTCGGGGGGGACCCTCCTGCCCGGCGGGCACCGGGCGATGCGGCAGCGCCCGCGCCGCGCCCCGGGCTCCCCCCGGCACCGGGCGGGTCCCGTCCGCGCCGCGCCCCGCACCGCGAGTGGAGCGCGGGCGCCGCCCGGTGGCAGCGCCACGGACCCCCCAGCTCCCCCCTCCCATCGTGGATATCCCCCCGGTGCGACCCTTCTTCGCCCAGGCTCGGTGCACCCCGTTTTCCTCGGCTGGATCACACCCCCCCCCATCCCCGGTACCCCGTTTTTTTCCCCTGTTGGGTGCCCCCCTCCGTGGCCGGTGTTTCCCGTTTCCACCGGCTGAAAGCCCCCTCCCCCTTTTCCCCGGCTGCCCCCGTTTCCACCGTGTGGAAGCTCCCGTTTTCCTCGGCTGGGCACCCGGGGGGTGCCCAGTGCGCCCCTTTTTCCCGGCTGGGAGCCCCCTCTGTGCCCGGTGTTTCCCGTTTCCACCGGCTGAAACCCCCCCTTTTCCCGGCTGGATCCCCCCCACCGGTGCCCGGTGCACCCCTTTTTCTCGGCTGTGTGCCCCTCCAGTGCCCGGTGAGCCCCTTTTTCCCCCCATACGGGTGCCCCCCACTCCATCCCCGATGCCCCCCCTTTCCCCGGATGGGAGCCCCCTCCATGCCCGGCGTTCCCGTTTCCACTGGCAGGAAACCCCCTATTTTTCCCATCTGGATTCCCCCCGCTGGGAGCCCCCTCCCCACTTTTTGGGTTGGGGGGGGTGGGGTGGTTTGGGGTCGCGGTTTGAGGTCGGGGTTTGGGGTCTAACGCGGAGCTGCTTTCCCCCCCTCCACCCTGCAGGAGAACGGCCACGTGATCTACAACGGGGACATGACGCCCAAGGTGGGGGTCGAGGTGTCCCCCCAGAACGGGAACGGCTCGGCTGAACCCCCCAAGGAGGAGAGCGAGGGCGAGCCGGGCGGGGGGGACGCCATCGAACCCGCCCCCCCCGCCGACGGGGGGGACCCCAAGCCCGAAGAAGGGGCCGCGGCCCCCAAGGACGCCCCCAAGAAGAAGAAGAAGTTCTCGTTCAAGAAATCCTTCAAGCTGAGCGGGATCTCGTTTCGGAAGAACAAGAAGGAGGCCGGGGACTCCTCTGGCTCCTCTCCCACGGAGGAGCAGGGCAAGGGCGAGGAGAGCCCCGCGGGGGGGGTGCAGCCCTCGGCTCCCCCCGAGGAAGGGCCGGCCGAGGAGCAGGGGGGCCCCGGGGAGGGCAGCGAGGGAGCTGAGCCCAAGGGGCAGGAGGGGGAAGCCGGCGGGAGCAAGGAGAAGAAGGAGGATGAGGAGGAGAAGGAGAAGCAGCAGGCGGGGGAGAGCCAAGGAGGAGACACAGCCAAACCCGAGGAGCCCTCGAAAGCCGCGGGGGCCGAGCCCACAACAAGCCCCGCGGCGGCGGTGGAGCAGAAGGAAGAGTAGATTCCACTTGGCATCGTCCTCACTGGAGACTCTCACGCCGTCCTCTCCATCCTGGAACACCACGGACTCGCCCACACAATTTTCCCCCCACCCCAGGCCCACCTAGAACTGACACCACTCCCCAGACCCCACACGCCCCTCGAGGTATTTCTTCCTTCCCCCTCTCCTCCCTTTTTTTCCCCCCTGGTAGAAAAGCTGGTTTGGATTCCCACACCACTGCCACCACTTGGAGTAGTTTTACCTGAGTCCTTTAAAAAAAAAAAAACAAAAAACAAAAAAAACCTGGGGGAGGAAGATTATTATCCTGGACATCACTGGAGTTTTACAGTTTGTAAGAAAACAGATCCCAACGTTCCTGCTCTGGATCTCTGCGGCCTCCAGACTGTCCCTTCTCCTCCCAGCAGCTTTCCAAGCCCACTGACTGTTCAATGGATTTTTTTTTCTTTTTTTTTTCTTTTTTTTTTTTT